GCAGTCAGATCATACTTTGTTTTTCCGACATTTTGAAGAAGGAAAAATAAAGATTCTGATTGTATATGTAGACGATATAATCCTCACGGGAGACAATGCAACCGAGATGGACAGACTAAAGAACAGCCTTGCCTCCGAATTTGAAGTAAAAGACCTAGGTCAGATGCAATACTTCTTAGGCATGGAGGTCGCAAGATCAAGAAGGGGTATCAGTATATCACAACGAAAATACATTCTCGACCTGTTGATCGAAACTGGCATGCTTGGTTGTAAACCAAGCAGCACACCTATAGATTGTGGAAAAAGAACATATGAAATAGGTGAACTGATTGATAGAGAGAGATCAACGACTAGCAGGTAAATTAATCTACCTATCACATACGAGACCAGACATTGCATTTGCGGTCAGTGTTGCAAGCCAACACATGCACTCACCGAAGGAAACTGATCTAGGAGTGTACAAAATTCTCAGGTATTTAAAAGGTACCTCTGGAAATGGATTATTTTTCAAGAAAAATGAAAAGAAAGAAGTAGAAATATTCACAGATGCTGATTGGGCCGGATCAACAGAAGATAGAAGATCAACATCGGGGTATTGTACCTTTGTATGGGGTAATCTGGTAACTTGGAGAAATAAAAAACAAAATGTAGTCGCGAGAAGCAGTGCCGAAGCAGAATTTAGAGCAGCTGCACAGGGAATATGTGAAGGACTTTGGTTAAAGAAGCTCTCTGAGGAGTTAAAGGTTGAAATGAAATTGTCTATAAAACTCTATTGTGATAATAAAGTTGCCATCAATATTTCACTTAACCCAGTACAACATGATAGAACAAAACATGTGGAGATTGATAGACATTTCATCAAAGAAAAGGTTGAAGACGGAGTCATTTGTATGGTGTACGTCCCTACAAAGGAGCAAAAAGCAGATATCCTCACCAAATGATTGTCTCAACAACATTTTCACGATTTCACTAGCAAGTTGGAGATGATCCTTCTATGAAATTTTAAATTTCCATTTATGCACTATAAAGTCCTCATTCTCAAAAAGAGGAATAGCAAGTGTGCTGTAATGGATAACTAACCTTAAGCTAAAAAATCGAACGAGTAATATGGCACTTTGGGGGTTTGAAGATGGAATAGGGTGCAAAAAAGGATAGGTTTTATTCAGTTTCTTGAAAAAGTTCAACGATGAAAAATTACAGGAAACAATTGAGGAGAATATAAATTGGTTTGGCTCTGCTTCCTACTAGGATGGATAAACATACTACAGTTTAGGAAAGAAATAACATGCATTGTCTTCTCAAAATAGAAATATATCTAGAATTACCAAAAGTTAAGTTAGAATGTAATCATAAAGACTCAAATTTGGTCAAGTCCCTGAACTGGCTATTTTCTTGCTTTCCATGATAGCTTGAAGTCTCTGAATGGAAAGCTTGAAATGATTAGTGTTAGTAAGTTAACCAAAAGGGTGAAAAAGATATTGTCAATGATCATCCCTATAAATTTCATATATTATTTTATTTGCAAAGTAAAATTATCGAGGATATGACTACCATGTCTCGAAGCATGGGCGGACCTAGGGGTGGCCTGGGGGGTCACGTGGCCCCCCAACTCTGCTCTTTTTTTTTTTCACCACTAAATTTTCTATGTTTTTGTTTCAATTTTCGAAGTTATTTTGGGATGTGAAATGAAATTGAAATATTATATTCTTAATACCATTTTGAAATGCTCACGGTCTAGTTTTCTACATTGTTAATGGTGTACGAAACGATCAATCGTAGCAAATGTTATGACTTGTCAAAGTAGGCCGTTTAAAATTAGTATTTCAAAAATTTCAATGACATGCTAACGTTAAAAATTATCTAATGATCGTACACTAATCGAATCTACAAATTGTTTATGTTATCTCAAATCTTATTTCGAGAACTACATTATAGGCATATTGAATAGTCCAAACAGATATCGAAAATAGTTAAAGATACATTAAACGTGAGTCTTAAAGAAACGTGTCCAACTCGTATTTTCTTTAAAAAAATTCAATTATTTCATTAATATTTATTATTTTTGCGATACAAATTTCTCGATTTAATTTTCATCATTTTATTTGGATTTTTATACGGAATATGACATCAAAAATTTTCGAAATTTTACATCCGAAAAATCATATCCCGTGTAAATTTTTGAATGTAAAATTACATGAGGTATGATTTTTTTAGACGTAAATTTTTTATTGTAAAATTTTTCCAAACTTCTTTTCAAGTTCGAATGTGCCCTCCCAACTTTAAACTTCTTCGTCCACCTGTCTCGAAGTAAAAGAAATTTCATTTATATTAACTACATATCTAATTGTTGATAATTCTATAATGAAATATTACAATCTAGGTTCTTTTAGAACTACTTATCCTACTTTAAAAATAGGATAATGATTATTGATTGCTAAAATAATCCCATGATTCTAGAAATGTACATTTACACGTAACATTTGATTCTTAAAGAATATTTAATCCATCCTATATATAGTAGTATGATCCTATTAATAAAAGGAAAAGGAAAATAATAAATAATAAAATACTATTACTTAAAGGAAAATTATTAATTTCTAACTAAACTATGATATAAAATTAGATGTGAAACAATTAGGGTGAATTTCTTATTTGTCTTTTATAAAAATGTGTACATACATATAAACAAATTGCCTTAATTACAGTCTAATTTGCTTCCTATAACCATATATAAAAATATTTGACCTATTACATTTACACATATTACACTTGCCTTATTTATAATACTCCCCCCTCAAATTGAAGCATATATGTTAATCATGCCCAACTTGTTACAAATATAATCGATTATTGGATCCCCTAGGCTTTTGTGAAAATAACACCCAATTGTTCTCCAACCTTAACATGGCTAGTGGAGATCAATCCCTATTGAATATTTTCTCGAATAAAATAACAATCAACTTAAACGTGTTTAGCCCTCTCATAAAAAAACTAGATTGAGCTTCATCCTGTATTTTCGCAAATCATTGAAAGCCATTTCTAAGTGTTTCAAGTGGTCTGCAGCCTTAAAACTATTTACTAGCATATCGTCGATATACATCTCAATCGATCTCTCAATTTGCTCTGCGAACATTTTATTCAGTAGCCTTTGATATGTTGTCCTTACAATTTTTAGCACGAAACGACATTACTTTGTAGCAATATAGTCTTTGATCTATCACGAATGTGGTATATTCCTCGTCAGGCCCATGCATAGGGATTTAGTTATATCCCGAATATGCATCCATGAAACTTAACAATTCATGTTCCACTGTAGTTTCTACAGCTGATCAATTGTAGAGAGCAGAGAGCTGCATTTTGAACAGGCTTTGTTTATTCTGTAAAATCTTAACAGGTTTACCATTTTTTGTTGCTATTAGGCACTAGGACTGGATTGCATACACATACTGGATAACAAGTGTCACGAATAAATCAATTTTTCAATACCTTATCCACATCGCTTTTTAGTACCTTGTACTTTTCGGCATTCATTGGTCGACGCCTTTCTATTTTGGGTTTGATCTTTGGATCAAGTTTCAAGGCGTGACAGGCAGCCTTTGGGTTGATTCCTATCATGTTTGTATGCTTTCAAACGAACACATCTAGGTTCGTGGCTATGAAATTTTTTAGCAAGCTTTTTATAGGTTCGCATAACTTTAGGCTCGTATACGAATGTACCCCTTAACGCTGTCAAAATTCATATCTCCCTTGCTCGGCTCCTTTCCAATCTTCATTAACGGAGTGGCTTGTTCGTGTGAAGGACTTGACCTCCTCTGGTAAAGTGGTGAAGAGCCAATGCAGAAATTCGAGGGTTATTCTTTCGTATCCGATCAAATGCTCCTTCATATAGTACATTTTTAGTACTTTCATTATCTAGAAGCATGTGATGAAGATTTTCACTCGCTATCATTGCACGGATCACGACCACTTCTTCCTCAGTGCCTGAAATTTTAATCCTAAACTCTATAGATATAATTGAAGAGGTTAGGGACCGGATGTTACCTATGAATTTACTTTTTCCCTAAAGTCCTGTTTTCCAGATTCTGTATTTCCGTACATAAAGTAGCACGTTCTATCATTAATGCCTTCAAGTCTTCAAACATTCTCCGAATATTTTTCACTGTTGTATTTTCTCTTATATTGGCCTCAACATTACTATTTGCCGAGTTTCCACTACATGGTACTGCAAATGCTGGGTGATCTCTTTTTGCTCGTTTCATTTTCCTTCACTTTGTGTTCTTTTAGCTAGAGCGTAGAATTTTATGGTTTACTTTGTTCAACTTTCCACGGACGGCCCCAATTTGTTGACATTAAAAACTGGATTAAATAATTTTATTGATAAACAATTATAATCAAAATCAATGTAAATACAATTAACATATCATTTCACCTAACCATGAGCTTAACCTCCTAAATTTACTAGTCTAGATGTATAAATTAAAACAAGAGGAGAAATAGATATTTGAGAGCGAGATTTTTGAATTGCATGCTCTCTTTTCCAAATGCGGAGGGATATTTATAGATTTTCCCTCCATGCATTGGGGTAGTTTGGTAATTCTCGCATTATGCCAGGTCGCCACTCTTTATTAAATATTTTCTAAGTGATTTTGATTATGAATCATGCTTTATTTGTTTGCCAATGTGTGCTTTTTAGGCAGTCTGCAGCCAGCCTGTCTATAGTAATTTCTTCGGTTCCTTTGGGCGAACTTTTTGCTTTTTCTTGCTTTCGCATGTTGCATTCTACTTCGCTACAGGGGAATCTTGCGAGATGCCTTACCTTGTTCAACAAAAATAGTTCCATATTTCCTATTCCAACTAGAAGCTTGGTTCTTGTGTGCATTCTCTATGTATATTTTCCTATGATCTATATTCTACGCAATGCTTTGTTAATCTTATATTGTGAAACTTCCTTTTTTCTGCTTGCTTGAAAGCAAAGTTAAAGAGTCGTTGATGACATGCAGGTGACCAAATGGTGTTCTTTATCTTGAACATAATTGAGCTAATCGGAGTGTTGATGATATTCAAGCCGTTTTCAGTTCAACGGAGACAATGATTACTTCTCTTCAACTACAAGCCCCGGACACAACCGATTAGTTGTTCCGTATAATAATTCATTGTCATATCAGAAGTAATTCTCTTAAAATCATTGTCTATTGAATTTTCTGATGTAATTGTGAGATAGAATCATACTCAATGAGGGCTACGATTATAATGGATTCTTCAGAATACAGTTACGCTACAACTGTTGTGCCCTTGAAATAATGGATTAAGTTGCATGACAAATCTCTTTTTTTGTGAACAAAGAAGCATCAGCAAACAGAAGTTATGTCTAAAGAGTTTTCTAAAATGGGTGTGAAAATTTATTTTTAAATTTAAAGATGCTCTCTAAACATAAAGAGACTCTTAGATATGCCAGTAAGCTTGTTTAAGGCTTTTCCATAGTAACAATGTCTTTTTTGTTTTTTTATGGTTAGTTATTGGAATGGAGTACGGGCACTAAGATTTAAAATATCAAACTTTTTTTTTCATATTCCTTTATTTTATTCAATTAATGGTTTTTATTATTTTTTATGGACAATAAACTTATTCAAACAAATATGTACATTTTTGTTGATAAGCTTGACATTGTTGTGAGGTGCCCATTTTTTACACATTGATTTTAACTACAGTTTAAATAATCAATAGCACATTTTTCGAAAATCCTTGAAGTGTCAAACTTAATGTACAATAAATGTATACAATTAGCTTAATCTTTCAAACAATTTGGTAGGTTAGGATGCAGCTATGTAGACGGTAGTCAGTCACACAGTAAAACAAAAAACAAAGAATGAAAAAGGAACAATAAATGTCCGTTTGATTACAAGAGTAGAATTTGGGTGCAAAGAAAATGAAATCTAGGGAATTGAATTGCATAGAATTGTTTTCTTGGGAATTGTCAATTAATTGTGTTTGATTAGTATAATTTTTCACGTGAAAAATATTGAGATTTCTGATCTTTTTCGTTTGGTTTTGTTTTACATGAAAATTGTCTATTAAATGGATAGAATTTGTTTCAATTGGGGATAGATTTTGTTCCCATTGTCAAAAAAAAAAAACAGTGGAAAACCATTTTCCCACCAAAGTGGTGGGAAAACCAATTCAATTAAAAGCAAGAAAATTGGGTCACGTGGGGCTTTGGGTGGAAAACAATTTGCCAAGAAAATTTTGCCTATCGAACAAGCAAAAATGTGGAAAATAAAAAACCAATTCCTAGTTCCATGAAAAAGAAATTCTATTAAATAGGGCCTAAGTGTATGCAATGCAACAAAGGGAAAAAACGAAAAATGAAATCTATGCAAGGATATTTGTGTTTACCTCATATTTTGGAGATGGGTGTCTAATTTCTTTTGTCCTTCCATAATCTTAACCTTCATTTTGTGCTAGCGAAGGTTCATAACCTTTCATAAATATGCATCTGAGGTCCATCTAGACGGAGATCGTCGAAAACACCGTCAGTTGACCTCAAAAATAAAAAAAAATGAGGTATTTTAACCATTTTAAGAAGGGGCAATTTCGTCAAACATTTATTAATCATTAAAATAATTAAATCTAAAAAAAACCCATTCCCTCACCCTCCCCAAATACTTCACCTTCTTCACCCCACCCCACCCTACCCTACCCTACCCTCTGCAATATTGAAGCTACTTTCATTGCATCACTCAATCATTTGCTCTCAAACCCTAATTTTACTCATTTTCCCTCTTCATTTCTCTCTTATTTCATCGTCACAATCCAAATGAAAGATGACATTTATTACCCCCAATTTTTCTCGACAAATCTTAAAAAAAATAAGAACAAATAAAAAAAAATTCAAGAAAAAATCTAAAAAGCCAAAACAATTTAAACTAGAGTAGCTGATTTCTTTCGTATAGATTTAACCACAGTATATGTGATATTCAAATTCTACTACTCTTTCTCCTTCATATCTAAAATCATTGGAGCATAAGTAATCTAGAAAATAAATATATTTGTAGAGGGTGGATTTGGTTTTGGTTTTGATATAGTGAGTTGGGTTAGATTTGGTTTTGGTTTTGGTTTTGGAAACGACAGGTGGTCGATGTGGAAGAAGGGGGAGGCGAGGGTTGGGTTAGATTTGGTTTTGTTACAGTGGGGTCGTGTTGGGTTGGATGGTATGGAGAAGATGAACAATTCATGTTCCTTTCATTTTTTTTATTGTTTGTTTTAATTATTTTGAGAGAAATGTACAGTACTTTGAACAATGAATGAGGAAAAATATTGTATGGACGAATTGCCCCTCCATAAAATGGGCAAAATACCTCATTTTTCAATTTTTAGGTCAATTGACAGTGTTTTGGACGGTTTCTGTCTAGATGGACCCCAACTGCATATTTATGAAAGGTTAGGGACTTTTACTAGCACAAAATGAAAGTTAGGATAAAGTCTGCAAAAATTGAAAAAATTAGGACTGTTGTTGCAATTTTTCCTAAATATAACGAAGAAATAAAAATTTTGAGTAAACTTAGTTTGTATTTTAACGTTGCAACTCCATTCAAAGTTGATGGAAAAAGTTTTGCATCAAAGATTAATCAAAGGAGTGGAAAGGTGAGCGGCGAAGGAAAATCTTGCATTCAAAGAGGGTGGCTAAAGGTAGGTGATAGGGATGGCAAAAAAACNAAAATGGCAAGTAAAATTATCTAAAAAAATATGACAAATAATAAAAATATCAGTTTATCAAATATATTTGAATAATTTAACTTTTAAAAATAAGTAAAGATTAAAAAAATTTAAACGGATTGTAAACAAGGCAAGGACCCCGTCCCACACCGCCTTGCCTAAAATGGGTAACGGGACGGGACGGGACGGGATGGAGCGAGGAATTGCCTGGCAGGGGGCGGGGGAGGTTGCCCCGACCCCGCCCGCCATCCCTAGTAGGTGAAAACTCTTTCATAATAAAATTACTACATTAAGCTTGACATTTTCAAGTTTAAGCTTGGCACAAAATTATAAAATTCAAAATTATCTACTGAATATAATATAATTTCAAATTCAGCATGGACCCTATTGCCCCCATGTTAAATCTACCACGGGAGAGAACGGGGATGCCATATTAAGCAAAAACATGGTGAGGAGGATATCTCTTCATGAAAATTTTGGCATATTATAGTTATATTAAGTATTTAAAAAGCAAAATAGGAAAGAACTGAGATAAGAAGATGTGCTAAGCAATCGCTATTGGAATTTTATTTTTTTCTTGCTGAAAAAAGAAAATCTTTAAACTTGGAAAAATTAAGGCATGTTCATCGATTTTCCAGCTAAATTGGCCAATCTATTATTTTTTACTAGTTTTCTACATGGTTTATACCACCTAATTGGTCCAATTTATTCGAACTAACCAGTTTTCTTCAAAAAGGACCATGGATTCAAGAATTTAATTTTTTTTTCTTGAAGAAATTTCAGTGAAAATGGTTAATTTTGGTCAAGTTTGGAGAGCCCTAATTTGTCTAGGTCAAAGCTTGAGATGAAAATTGTAGATCAAATGTCGAATGATGTTTTTACCAGCTCATAAATATAACTAGATGTCTTCACGTGATTGTTAATGGTCAGTTTAACCAAAAAAAAAAGGATATTCTGCTTTACCAGAACTATTCACTTATAGAAAGATTACAGAAAAATTAACTTCCTAACCCCTTACATAAAAATTGCAACTAAAGCCATTATAAAAATATAAAGACTTCAATTAAGTCCCCAAAAATTTATAAACCAAGAATCTTTAATATATTTAATTCTAAGATATTATAAATGAGAAAACCTAAATTCCATAAGATGTGTAATGCACATAAAAGATTAAGATATGAATTAACTATTAGATTTTATATCCTTCTAATAAATCATAGAGTAACAAAAGAACATATAATAAAGTATTTAGAAAATACTAAGAATGTTTAAGGATTTCAAAAATAGGTCATAATTCCGCACGCACTCTGGTAAAGATGGTATCAGTGCATACATTAACCTACATGTATCCGGGAGGAACTCTATAAGGAAATACAGTAATTACTGACTCTCCGCCCCCGACTTGAAGTTCACGCTTCAAGGACACTTTATAGGTGCCTTTTTATCGCTGTCAAGTCAGGGCCGTTTCTGTAAAATCGGACGGTAGTGGGTGTGACCTGCGCACTCTGGTAGAATTGGTATCAGACCCTTGTTACGACCTTAAAATAATGATGAATATAATTG